TTTTTTTTTTTTTTTTTTTTTTTTTGGTCTTTTTGTTTGGTTTTGGTACTGAGGACCAAACTTGGGTCCTTGTGCTTGTGAGGCAGGCAGCAGAACCACTGAGCTAAATCCCTGGCCCTTTAAACACTTCATTTTTAACTGATAAATAGTAACTACGTATTTGTGGGACACAGTTTGACATTTGACTGTGTATGTACAGAGTAACAACCACACTTAACTGGCATAGGTGTCACTTCAGACACTTCATTTCTTGATGTTGGGAACATTCAATTTTTGGTACATCTCTAGCTCTTTCTTTCTTTTAGACAAAGTTGCAGTAAATTGCCAGATTGGGCTTGAATTTGTGGTCATCCTGCCTCACCTCCCAGCAGTTGAGATTGCAAGTGTGCTGCATCACTCCTGGCTCAGTTAATTGTTTTAAACTAGTTTTTTTGAGGCAAAGTCTCACTATTATAGTTCAAGCTGGCCTCAAACTTACAGCAGTCCTCCTGCCCCAGCCTCTCACATGCTGGGATTACAAGCATGTGCACCATCCTGTCTAAACCAGTTATGTTATTAGTACATTTGGCATGCATAATGATTACCTTCATCGTTGAGAGTCGGTACATATATACTTGTGACATAAATATCCTTTTTTTACTTGCAAGCCAGTCAAATGTTCTACCCCAAAGAAAATTTAAAAAGGTAGCCTGGGAAGAAAGACAGAGAGCGTGACAGGTATTATAATACTTACTTTTAAAATCAGTGGTGAGCCGAGGATTTAGCTGAGTGCATGCCTGCCTCACAAGCCCAAGGTCCTGAGTTCTATCCCCAGTACCGAAAAACAAAACAAAACAAAAATTAGTGGTGGAAAGCCTCACTCTTTAGTCTACTTATTATGATAGTCTACTTATTATGAAATAGAACTATGAATCATCAATAAATCTTACAAGCTATTCTGTATCACTGATATTTATTTTGAAATGATTGTTTTAGATGTCAGCTATCTTGAAGAGATACAAAATGATTCTGCAATAAGAGCAATTTTTACTAAGTAACCAGAAGAATCTTTTAGGAGGAGTTTAAATTGGGGGTTTTGGCAGGGGATTTAGCTCAGTGGTTCTGCAGCCTGCCTCAAAAGTGCAGTGTCCTGAGTTTGATCCCCATTACCACCAAAATAATAATAATAATAATAAATAGAGGGTTTTGACTAAAAAACTTGATAGCTGTCTTAATTTTTCTTAAAGGATGGATCTTCACTTAAGGAAGTTGGAACGTATCACCGGACACGTTCTTTAAGGTCTTTGAGAAAAAGTGCACAGACTTCTTCAGATTCTAGTTTTGATAAGAAAATGGACATAACGGAGAAACATGCTAATGGCAGGCACTTTACAAGGTAACACAAGATGGTCAGCCAATCGTTGAGATTGTTTTAAAGCAGGAATTTGCATTTAATTCTTAAAGTGTATTTTTGGCCAGTTATCAAGATTCCAGTGTTGTAAAATGTAATGTATTTGAAAGGAAATTGTCACACATGAATACTATTGAATTAAAATTGTGTCTGTACCCAGTCAGGTATCTTTATTTTCTTGTGCAACGCAGTGTGTGCAGGGGACTGACATGTGGCTCTGCTTTAGTCCGTTTCACTCGAGACCATTACGTCTGATTGCTTGCTGTCAAAGTTTTCCTCATTTGTGAATCATTTATAAATTTCTATACATTCATGTGTTTCTAAAGCAGTCCTTACAAAGGCAGAATGATTTTTTTTTTTTTAATTTTTGAGTTCTAGAATTTTTTTATTGGGAATAGGCTTTTCTATACATAACCTGCAACTACTACAAATGGGTCCTGAGAAACCTGCGCTTTGCTGTATAGTTCAGGCTGGTCTTGAACTCCAGGCGATCCTCCTGCCTCCTGAGTGCTGGGATTGATTTGCAGGTGTGTGCCACCACACCCAGCTCCTGGAGAATTTTCAGAAGTGCTGTTTTCTTAATTTGTCTGTATTGTTTGCTCGGCCTTTCTGTAGTCTCCTACCATAAGGAGTATTTAATCACCATGTATGAGAAGAATCTACATGGAAGAAGGAATACAGCGTATCAGGTTCTAAGGACCCATCAGTAGTGAATACAACATTACTTGTGTCAAAGCACCAAGTTTCTATAGTTTTTAAGTCTGGTCATGAAGATAGCCATCCAATGTGAGCAACAGATGGAACAGGAAGATGCTTCTATGAATCAGGCTCGATTTTCATTTTTAGTGTGTGGCCTCAGATTAGATCATGTTGAAACTAGAAAAGAGAGAGTCAAGATAAGTTAGCTCCTATCTCCAACTTACTTGATAAATTTGTCAGCATTCGTGTTATTCTTCTGGATTTCACCTAGCCATAGATAAGATGCCAGTACCATCTCAAGGAAGATGTCGATTTAAAAGGTTTTTACCTAATAAGCCAGCTAAAGATGCACAAAGGTGCAGATTCCAGTGGGCACTAAGGTCATTTTCTGCTAAGTACAGAAATACTTGCTGGTGCAGAGGTAAAAACAGCCTATCCAACCAAACACGCCTTGTCAAGTCCTGAGAGAGCTGCTTTTGGCTTGAGTGTATTGCAGATACTGAGAGGAAAAGTCCCAGCCACAGTTGGTGTCGCTCTGTGGAACTCACAAAGAAAAACTTGATGCATGTACTTTTTAAGAATCAGGAAAAGAAGAAAAAAATCAGAGGGCTACACCTGAATTTTTACCAAATAGAAAAATCGTTCAGTGATTCGGTATTTGGAGTTTCTGCTCCCCGCACATTAGTTTTGTATGTACTGAAAAGAAGTGAAAGTGTCATATTAATATCAAGTATGCGCCGTAGCAATCCTGTTGACACTTTCAATGGAAAATGTACATTATGCTGTATTTGACTTCGAGGAGAACCAACCATTGGCCAATGGCAATTTTTATGCCACTTTAAATAAGGAGGGAGTAAAGGGAGGGCAGGGACAAGGGGAGAAAATGAGAAGACCTATTATGTAAAGGTACAACATCCCAATGATGAATGTAACTGTATTGTATTCCTAGATTGTACCAATAAACTTAATTTTTAAAAAAAAAAATATATTGTGGGTGTTAACTCCCCATGTATTGTATCAGTTTGCACAATGAGGTAAAATAAAACGTTTTGATTTTATGAAAGCCCCTGCAGTGCAGTTAATTGAGGAAAATTTGTGTTCCAGAATGGCTACTAAAAAAGCGCTCATAAAAGTACAAAAACTCACAGCAGAAATGTTGTTGTAGAAGAGCCCAGGCAACCTGTTGACAAAAGCAAAAGACAGCATTATACCCCAGCAGCAAGGACAGAAAAACTGTTATCCAGTGCAGTGCTTGTAAAATGCCAGTTTGTAATCAGTGCTGTGAGAAACTTTGTCCTACGTATTTTGAAAATGAATGTTTTGGTGTTATAAATACTTGCATAATGTGTTTACAAATAAAAATTTTACACAGTTTTTACTTTTATAAAGCACTAAATTTATGGGTACTGAGAACCTACAGGTAGTACAAATGAAACTGAAGTGAGTCAGTAGTAGTTGTGGTTAAATTTTGTTTCTCCAGAGCCCTGAGTCAGATGGCATAAATCCCATTTTGACACTCAAACAACCAATTTTAGTGGCTTATGTAATTTGGCTAAATTCATGGAACTGGGAGTTTGGTACAGAACAGATTTAAATCTAAATTTAGCTCAGAGCCTTCCCTATTTTCAACAATTTTGTGGATTAATATAAAGGAGAATGTACCATTTGAGTAAAATTGGTTTGATGAAAAAACTTTACAGTCTTTTCATAAATAAATTACATAATGACTTGGAAAACTAGAACCCTTCTACTCAGTATTTTCCAAGTAAGGTTATCTTTTAAGTTCCTAAGCTTTTGTTGTATTTTTTCATTTATTTAAGCAGTCTTAAGTATTTTCAAATTTGCGTCTTATTTCATCCATTATTTGGGGAGTGTTTGCTGCTGTATTTCATAGAATCAAGTGCGTCAGCCTTTGAAACACACAACCTAGTTTTATACCAAAAGGGAAAACCCTGATAGTTAAATTGTGATAATGCCGTCAGTTATGCAACACATTTCATTTCCTGAAATAATTAAACAAATACAGTGTGAGGCCCAGTGTTTTTGAAATTTGAAGTCTTCTGATTTCTTCTCAAGGCTATGAGAATAGCCTGTACATTCTTTGTGAGAATTTGAAGATTCTTTTTCATGGTCCTAGGAAACAATAAGCATTTTTAACTACCTAAACTGCTCTTACTGAGAATTTCCATAAAATTTCAAGCCCTACATTTGTTTTCACAGTCGAATTGGCACCAAGTCTTGCCATGGTTATCTCAGGGCCTAACATTGACAGTAAAGGGTTCATTCACTTCCAGAAGCCCGCCTGGTGTGACGTGGTGACATCTGTATAAACAGAGGTTGGAGTCCCTGGATACTCAACCCTACTTTGCCATGCCACGGCAAAGGCTGTGTCATTTCAGCCAAAGCTGGTGCTATTTTTGTTTTTTTGTTGTCTGTTTGGTTTTGTTTTGTTTTGGGTACTGGGGATTGAACTCGTGTCCTTGCACTTGCGAGGCATGCAGCAGAACCACTGAGCTTAAATCCCAGGCCCTGGTGATATTTTTAATGATTGGTTTGGTTGGGCTTATGCACGTAAAATTATGAATTTAAACTTAGTTGGGCTTTGCATAGTCATAAAAATGTAATTTCCAAAGTTCTCAAAAGTTAATACCTTTGGAAGAATCTGCCCCTACAAATTTATTTGTTTATTTTTATTTTTTTGGTACTGGGGATCTAACTTGGGTCCTTGTGCTTTCGAGGAAGGCGGCAGAACCACTGAGGTAAATACCTGGCCCTTGCCCATACAAATTTGTGAAACATTGTTCTAAACTCTGCCAGAAAGGTACTAGGGTAATGTATTAAAAATAAGTGATTTTTGGGCCAGGGATCTAGCTCAGTGGTGCTGCCACCTTCCTCGCAACCACGAGGTCAAGGCCCTAAGTTCAATCCCTGGTACCAAAAAAAAAAGTACTTTTTTGATCTGAGTTTAAAGATGAATGATTTAGGGCTGGGGATTTATCTCAGCGGTTTGGTGGCCTGCCTTGCAAGCACAAGGATCCAAGTTCAATCCCCAGTACCAACAAAAAAAAAGATGAATGAATGATTTGGTTTATTTTTGTGTATGTATGTTTTGGGGTTTTCAGTTTCTTTGTCCTCTTGCCTCAGCCTTGCAAAAGCTGGGATGACAGGTGTGTGTCCCACACCTGGCTGATTTGTTTTTTGGGGGTTTTTTTTGTTTTGTTGTTTTTGTTTTTTTGTTTTTTTTTTGGTTTTTTGGTTTTTTGGTACCAGGGATTGAATTCAGGTCCTTGCACTTGCAGGGCAGGCCACCGAATTGCTGAGCTAAATCCCCTGCCCTGATTTGGTATTTTTAATCAAATCCTTCTAAAATATATTTAATTCAGTTTTATTTTTAAATAATATCCTAAAATATAATTCCTATACTGTAAAATTAATTTTAAAGTATAAAATTCATTCCAGTACATTAACAGTGTTGTTAATTACTAATTTGGTACAGCTTTGCAAACCTAAAATGAAACTTTGTGCCCCTTAACTTTCACATTTCCTACCCTTGTCTTTTGCTCCTTGGCATCCTTTCATCTGAATAGACTCTATTATAGACATTTTATAAACAATCATATAATATCTGGCCTTGTATCTGGCTTTTTTCACATGGTATAATGTTTTCAAAGTTTGTCTGTGTGCTGTCTGTCATACTTAGTTTTTTCACTTGCTGAAAGATTCCATTGTATGAATAGGCCATGATTTTATTCTCTCTCTGGATGTCGCTTTCTGTTTTTCTGCTATTGTGAGTAATGGTATTAACATCTGGGGTACAAGTTTTTGTGTGGGTGTCAGCTTTTCATCCCTTTGGGAATACACCTGGGAGTGGAGTTGTGTGGTCTATGGCAGCATGGGCATCCGATGTGCTGCCAGGCTGTTTTTCCGAGGCAACTGCACCATCTTGTACACCCCCCAGCAGTGAATGAGATTTTAAACTCTCCATGTTCTTAGCCATTAGGGGGCGTGAAGCATCTCACTGGTTCTGAATGTCCTTTTCCTAATTCCGATAATGTTGGATATCTTTTTATTTGCTTATTGGTCATTTGTATGTCTTCTGTGAGAAGAATTCCTGTGTAAAAATCATTTCCCTATATTATTACAAATACTGTTTATTATTTTACATTAGAATCTGTTTGTATGAGACTTAAATGGACCACAGTGGTTTTGAATTTTAGTTTATGTACTTTTTGTTTCTTACTGCTACTCCAAGTATGCTATACTGCAGTTATCTTTTTTTTTTTAACTCCCCCCCCCGTCTGTTTTTCATTTGTTTTGGGCCTCAAAGAATAGAGAACTAATGTTAAAAAAATGCATAAAGTTTTGGGTAACCATACTATGAAGGTGGGATCTACAGATTTCTTTGATCCTAGGGTCCAGTGATTGTAGATGGTCTGAAACTTCTAAGTCATGTTTAAACTTATGTATGTGTACAGTTTTCTAGGGAATATAGACCCATGGCTTTCATCAGACTGGCAAGGGTTGGCAAAGTCTGCTCACTTGTTTTTGTAAATGACTTCATTGGAATACAGCCGTGCCCATTCATTTTATCAATGACTACCTTTTTTGTGTGTGGTTTTTGAGACAGGGTCTCACTGTGTAGCTTAGGCTGGCCCTGAACTTACTCTGTAGCCCAGGCTGGTCTCTAACTCATGGCAATCCTCCTGCCTCAGCCTCCACAGAGTTCTGGGATTATAGAAATGTACCACCATACCCAGCTCTGTGGCTGCTTTCACGCTACAGTGTCAAGTAGATGTGACAGACTGGGTGGCTCACAAGCCTAACATGCTTAGTATCTAGCAAAATTAAAGATTACTGACTTTTACAAATATAAAAGTACTTCCGTTCCCCTGCAGGGGAAAAGAGAGAGAGAATGAAAGAAAAAAGGAAAAATTACTGACTTAACCATTGTATTTATAGCATCTTATCTCTTCCGTGGTAATAAAGGTAGGAGCCCCTTTAGGAAAAATCTGTGAGCTTCTGAATGAATTTTGATGGACAAATCAAAAGTTTTTATTTTGTTTTTGGCTCTTCACTGGGTTCCAAGTGAGGTAAACCATTAACAATGAGATGACTCACATTGTTGTGAGAATATATAAATTAAGTCATCTAGCTAAGATGGTTTGGTTTTATTTTAAAGTCTGATATTTGAAATTCCAGGTGTATAAACCAGTCCACTTGGAAATAGCATGATATATAGGTTGATTAACAGATAGCAGCTTGATAATGGGAAATTAAATTACCAAGTAAGCTAATGAGACAAGTTCTTTTATCAGTGGATTTTTGAAAACATGAATGAAGGGCACTTTTTTAATGGCTTGGAAAGTGCTCATTCCATTTCAGTAGATTCCATCTGCCAGTTTGTAGGTGGAATATCTGACTCACATATGGGATATTTCTATATGTGAATGATGATAATGGATATGAGTAAAGGTTGTTGCCAGCAGATATTCTTAGAAGGCAGCATATCATTAATGCACATCGGTTCTGGTTACAGTTATAAACTCCTCAAGGATATGGGACTATATCCCAGTGAGGTATAAAATTGTATTGGTTTTGTGCAACACTTAATTCAACTATACTTAAATAATTAGATAAAGGATTTCACGTCTTTCAAGAACTATACTTTGATTAATTCTGTTCAGCTAAGAGGTAATACATAATACCACTTTTTCCTTTTCTTTTTTTGAGACAAGGTCTCATCTTGTAGTATAGGCTGGCCTTAAATGCACTATGTAGCCCAGGCTGGTCTCAAACTCTCGGATCCTCCTGCCTTAGCCTCCTGAGTGCTGGGATTACAGGTGTGTGCTACCACACTGGCTTTTGTACCACTGAATTTCAAAACAGGAATCTTGGGGCCAGGGATTTGGCTCAGTGGTTTAGCCACCTGCCTCACAAGCATAGGGGCCTGAGTTGGATCCCTGGTACAGAAAAAGAAGCAGGAATCTTACATTTTTTTTAACTATTATTTACATAAGCACATACTCTTAACTCCCACAGTAATTTTCAAGCTATTTTTCTGGCTGCGAGGGCTTTTAAATATCTCAGTATTTAAGGTCTAGGTTGATTTAATTTTTTGTCTCTGTAGTATTATACAGTATTGAATTTGAAATTACCTGAATTATTTTGAATTATTTAATCAATATTCTTTGTTCATATAGGCAATTGGCCAGACAACAGGCAGATAAAAAGAGAGAAGAGTACAAAGAAGGTAATGTTAATGGCATTTGAGATTTTTAAAATATATACATTTAATAATGTACTTGCAAGTCTGTTGAAGTATTTACAGTAATAGAAGTGTGTACATGAAACCATTGCCACAATAGATGTGAAGATACCCATCTTCCCGAGTTCCTTCAACCCACTGAACCCCCTTAGTTCTAGATTCCCCAACACTCACCAGTCTGCTTTCTCTCACTATAGATTGATTTTTATGATCTCATTTTATATAAATGGAATCATACAGCATGTCCTCTTTTGTCTGTTTTTGTTTGTTTGTTTATTTCAGAATAATAGCTTTGAGTCTTTTTCATGTTCTTTTTGTTGCTGGATAGTATTCCATTAAATGGATATAGCGCAGTATCTCACCTTTTAATGGACATGAGTTATTTCCAGTTTGGGACCATATGAACTTCTATGAATATGTACAAGTCTGTATTATGTATCTTTGGTTAGGAGTGGAACGACTAGATCATATAGTAGGTGTATGTTGTAGCTTGAAGTTTATTTTCTATTTTTAAGAAAGGTGAGTTTAAGATACTATAATTTAGAAAAAAGGTAACTATAGTTATATGAAAGTATTGTTCATTTTCAAGTTGTGTATTTGTATTATTATTTCCATCTTTATTTGTTTGTACACATCTATGAAGATAAAGTGATTACACGGTCATTGAGGACCAGAAACATTGTTCAAACTGTGGAACACTTGCATGAAGAAAACGGTGATGTTGAAGTTCGTCGCAGTTGTAGAATTAGAAGTCGTTACAGTGCTGTGAATCAGTCTGTGCTATTTGACAAACTCATAACAAAGTAAGTGCAAAATTCCTAATTTAAGATAATTTAAATGGCAAAACCTTTATTTTCGAGGACTACGAGTTTTGACCCTCCTGAATATATTTATTAAACTGAGTTTATGTAAATAAAGCATAAAAAGTGTTGTTTGAGGCCTTTTTGATGATTCTGTATATGTGTTTATGTTTAAAATGATCTTTGCACAAGTTATTCAATGCTTATTGAAATATTTTCTCGATGTTTTTAAAGCACTGCTGAAGCTGTACTTCAAAAAATGGATGACATGAAGAAGATGCGTAGACAGCGACTGAGAAAACTTGAAGACTTGAGAGTGTATAATGAAACAGAAGAAGTAAGTCTCTTCTTTCCTTAAGCGGGTGACTTTTTAATCATTTTCTATAGTGTATAGTCTGTTTTGTTAAATTATTCATCACTTTGTCCAGCATTTGATCAGTCACTAATGACTGCTGGAGTTTCAAGAGTATATGGCTATAAACACATCCATTGTAAGAAAGATTGGAGGGTCTTACTGAATTACTTGATGCACATATACTAAACATTAATGGCTTTTATTTGAACATTTGTAGGGCAGTCTTAATATGTACACAAGGGGGAAACAGGAAGGAATTCAAAGAGCTGATGAAGAAACAACTGATAACCAAGAAGGCAGCATAGGTTTGTCTTTTGTGTTTTCTGGATTTGAATTTTAGCACTTTTTATTTAGTAGGAAATGACGTTTTTATTCAGAAACTGGTATTTATGGTAGTTTGTGAAGATCATAGTATTTATTGGTCATAATTTTTGAAAAGTGAAGGCAAGGCAGAGCTTCAAAGAATAGTTTCTTTTGTTTCCGAAAGTAAAATCAGTAACTGTAAAGCAAAAATTTGGTTTGCTGGTATTACGTCTATAGATGCTACATCGTATATCTAAATAGCTTAGATAAAATGATTGAAGTTTTACTATTCCATTTAGGACTTGGTAGTATAATTTCTTTAGTGAAATCAATTTTTTTAAATGTTGGATGAGGATCTTTCACTGTTACACTAAACAGATTATTGAGTTATTCTTCGTGTAACTCAATGACAGCCAGACTGGATGGGATGTCAAACTTTAAGTTTAAAAAGCAAACACTAAAAGAGTTTTACTCTCCTGATTAAAATTATTCACAGGGAATATATTTTTCAGGATTATTTGAATCTGTTTTCCCTAGTTGCAATAATAATTAACCCCAAATAATTGTGAATTTCTTGTTTGGGGGAGGATTGTTTGGTGACAGTCCTTCTGGAAGTGTTTCTTAATTGTAGAGTCATCTGAAGAGGGTGAACACCAGGAAGATGAAGATGATGGTGAAGACGAAGATGATGGTGAAGATGAAGATGATGTTGAAGACGAAGATGATGGTGAAGATGAAGAAGAAGAAGAAGAAGAAGAAGATGATGATGATGATGATGATGATGATGATGATGATGATGATGATGATGATGGAGAAGAAGATAATCAAAAACGATACTATCTTAGACAGAGAAAAGCAACTGTTTACTATCAGGCTCCATTGGAAAGTAAGTGGTGTAGTATATACTTTTTGCAAGAAAGGATGTATTTATATTACCTTTAATTCTACTGGACAGCCTTTGTTGTTGGTGGTGTGGATTGAAGGGGGTTTGTTGTTTTTTGGAGGGTATTTTTAATATTAATATTTTTGGGGGGTGTTTTAATTTTACTAAATACTCATGATTACTGTCTTAACCTATTCTAAGTTTATAAGATATCATTGTTCCAAAGAAAAGTTGAATGCTAGCCATGAGCGCAAAGCAAATAATTGAGCTGTTTCAAAATTTCATGTGACTTTAGACTGCATCATTTTCTTGATTTATGCTGTTAGTTTAGATATGCAGGGCTGCTTTTGATTCTGCTAATGTGAACTTCGACACATGCACATTTACACTTGTGGCTGGCAATCGTCTGCTGTGGGTTGGTGCATTTACTGTGGTCATTTCTGGCCGCTGTGCTTTTTGGTCGTTTGGTTTCTGCTACATGAGCTTCAGGAGCAACCTTGTAGGTAAAAATAAGGCAACAACAGTAAAGTACTATGCAGTATAGTAAAACCTTGGTTTGCGAGCATGATTCGTTCCAGGAACATGCTTATAATCTAAAGCACCTAACTATCAAAGTGAGTTTCCCTATAAGAAATAATGGGAACTCACTGAGTTGTTCCACACCCAGAAATATATAAAAATGTCAATACTGTAAGACAAAACAGAACAATAAAGAAAATACAAAATATAAAGAACAAGAAACCTATTAGCCTGCCCTTAACTTTGAAAACCTTCCTGGCTGGTATGAGGGAAACGAGAGAAAGGAGTGTTTTTCCTTTCGCTATCACTAACAGAATCACTGCTCTTTGTTGGCTCAGTGGAGTCTTTCTTTTCTTACAACGTTAGCAAGGAGCTGATCCAGTGATATTGTGCTTTTTCCTTCTTTTGAGGATTTCACAGAAATAGGACATGGCATTGTTGTTAAATAGATTTTTGGCTCCCACTGCTACAGCTTTATTCAGGTGGTGCTTTGCTTTTGTTTCAGTTTTTTGTGGGGTTTGTTGTTGTTGTTGTTGTTTGTTTTTGTGACACAGTCTCATTGGGCATTTCAGGCTGTCCTTGATCTTGCAGTGTAGCCTAGACTAGCCTCAAACTTGTAGTAATCCTCCTGCCTCAGCCTCCCAGGTGCTAGGATTATAGACATGTGCCACCATGATATTCTACAAAGTTTTGCACTGTTTCCCACATTTTACACATCGCCCTAATCTCATTTGAAGTGAGGGATTCCACCGCCTTTTCTCCTCCTCTGCAGATGAGTTCTCCTTCATGACCTCTTGCTGTTGGGAGATGATCACCCACATTCCCACAACAAAAGAGAAAACCATTGGCTCAGTTTTGATCATGTGACATTTTGTGTTGCATACTGCTCATGTTGTAAGACATTGCTTGTTAATTATGTTAAAGTTTATGTGCTCATTTTGGGGAACATTCACTGAACAAGTTACGGTAGATATTTATGATACAGTAAAACCTTGGTCTACAAGTGTAATTTGTTCTTTTACAGGAGGTATCACCTTTGTAAATACCTAGATGAAGAGAAAAACACCTTCATACATATTTCTGTTACACATTTCTTTTCCTAGAACCTCGCCACCAGAGAAAGCCCAACATACTTTATAGAGGCCCAGCTTCTCCTACAAGACCAAGATATCGATTATCTTCTGCAGGACCAAGAAGCCCCTATTGTAAACGAATGAACAGGTTTGGTTCTGATATCATGATCGGTTTACGACAACACAACTGTGGCTCTGTTAAGGGCAAGATTCTGGAATCTTTTTATTGAGTATGTTGTGATAGAATTCCAGAATTGCACATATGGGAGGGCTTTACTCCATGCTGTTAGTGCTCTAATTTGCAGTATTACCAACTAGTTTTTGCTTTTGTCCCCATGAATAGGAAGTTTGGAAAGGTGGTTTATTCCACTATTCTATGCTTGAATAATAGAGCTGCCACTGACTCAGTGTTTATTGTCTCCCTGGATCTCTGTTAAGCATTTTTCATAGATGAGTATAGGTTTAGTCTTTTCTTTGCTTATTTTCCACCATGTCAGATGCTCTAAGCTGTATACCTTAAGTCTGGAGAGATAATCTGTGATTATTTCTCATTCTCCTGAATAATGAAAGGATTTCTGATGCATTGGGTTAGCATTGTGATGGGTCATGGATAGGAGCAAAGACTGGAAAGGCAGGGGTATGGGACATAGATGTAGGAAGTGATACTTTTTCCCTAATAATAATTTGCTCAGAAGTAAAGCAAAGTTTTTGGAGATTGCAGCTTTGGAACAGTTCTGGGGAGTTTTCTAGAAGTAAGCTATCTGATTTTGGTCACGGAAGGAGCACCTTTGTAAGTACTGAACAGTTCTCTTTTAGGAAAAATAAGTGATACACTATGTCCCTGGGTCTTTCCCTTTCATTATGAGACTCACGGGTGTACATTGTATTTGTTTTGGGTTGGTTGGTTGGGTTTTTGTTTCGTTTTGCTTTATCCCTTTCCATTTGACTGGGGTCCTGAAAGATAAGAGTGAAGGAGAATGAACAGCCTGTCTGTCAGCTTCTTGGGGTTACTGGTAGTTCAGATTCAGAGAAGGCTGGGTTGTTGGTACTCTCAGGGGCCACTTAGAGTATCATTGAAGATATCTGCTCTGGTAGGAAATGTAGTGGCCTTTAGAAAGGAGAAGAGCACAGGGGTGCCTGCGGCCACCACCACCACAGGACCAGGCAACTGTTTTCATTACCTGGCACAGCGGCAGCCTTCTGTGTGGTCAGCCGTCAAGCCCAGCAGTTATTTTGAGATTTAATTTCTTTTCCCATCTGGGAATAGCATACTCGTTGATTTATATCTTGCAGTTGGTAGGTTTTGGGGTTTTTTTTGTTTTTTCATCCCTTTGGAGCTTATATTTTCATATTTGGTTCCTGGCGTTTTGTCTTTCTCTGTGAAAAACGTCTTCTTGTTCAGTCGCAGGAATTTTTCCCCCATTTATTTAACAAACGTTTCAGGGGGCCAGGGATTTAGCTCAGTGGTGCTGCTGCCTGCCTTGCAAGCACAAAGACCCAAGTTCGATCCTTGGTACAAAAAAAAAAAAAAGAAAAAAAAAGAAATGTTTCAGTGCTACCAGATGCCAAGCACAGCAGATACAAAAATGACTGAGGCATGATTCCTGCCCTGTATCTCACAGATCATTGATGGTGAACCTTTTAGAGGCTGAGTGCCCAAGGCACCACCTAAACCTACCTTATCACAAGGTGCCTGTGCTGCAGTTAAGCCTGAATTCTAAGGTTATAGCTTAGAAAATACAACTCTACATTAATATCTTTTGTCTTAACAGAAACATATAACACATGTCATAGATTTGTTACCACTGTCAGGCTAATGGAGGATTCTAACACTGACATTGACCCATGAACTGAGATTTTAACTGCCCAAGTTATGTTATTTGAGTTGCTGGCCTTCTGGATATGATTTTTTTAAGGGCTTTGGGGGTTTTTGTTTTGACTTTGGGGGGGTTGGTTTGTTTGGGGGATTTTTTGTTTTTTTTTTTGTTGTTGTTGTTTTTGAGACAGTCTTGCTTAATTCGTGCTAGCCTCTATCTCAGCCATCCTCCACCCTCAGCTTTCCGAATGCTCTGGTTATAGGTGCAACTGTGCCCAGCCTTTTTTTTTTTTTTTTTTTTTTTTTTTTTTTTTTAAGATAGAGTCTTTGTAGTCCAGGCTGGCCTCAGACTTGTGGCAGTCTTACTGCCTCAGCCTCCCAAATGCTGGGGCTACAGGCGTGCACCACATCCCACTTGATACTGGTTGGGATAACCTCTAAACATTTTTGTGTGGTGATAGCCTTATTGAGATACAGTTTGCATACATACCGTGCAGTTTACCCATTTAAAGTGTATCATTCATTGCTTTTAGTATATACCCAGAGTTGTGCATTTGTGTTCATCATCTCAGCAAGAAGCTCTGGGCTCTTTGGTGGTCCCCCTCCAATCTCCCTATCTCCCTAACTCTTACCTCTTATAATTTAAGGCTTTATCTTTTACTTTGGTTTGTAGTGTCTAAGAACAAACCTAGACCCTTTGAACAGGGTAACATAGTATCATAGTACAGTTGTTTCACCAGTATCCACAATACTCCAAATCTGATAGTAAAGAACAGGAATTGACAAGTTGTTTAAAGCTCAGGGTAGGTTTAAAGTCCTGGTCCACTTTGTACTGAGCTACATCCTCAACCAGCTTTTTCAGACAAACTCACTATGTTGCCTGGCTCAGCTGAAACTTGGAGTCCTGCTGCCTTGGCCTCCGAGGGTATTGAGATTATAGGCATGTGCCACCACACCAGCTGATGCCAGGCTTTTCATTGGGTTTTAGAAAAATGGTGGGAAAATGAGCAGATGTGGATTTATGTGTAGGAAATCTTTTTTACATTGTAATAATGACCTTTCGCAATATAGAATAATGGCTGAGAAACCCAGTCCCATGAGTAAGGCTGTCTACGGTGAGAGCTAAGCCCTGTCACTTATTAGTGAGTAACCTTGGGTTAGTTCCTTAGCCTCTGCTTTGGTTTGTTTCTTTAATTTGTGTAATAGGGATAATAACACCTTTTTCATAGTATATGAGAATTTGCTAACTCAGGTAAAAGCATTTACCCGGCGTAGCTGTACTTTGGTATTTAAGATTTATACTTAAGTCAAATACTGGAAATATTATGTGGGTACGCATGGTTTTGTTAACTGTTTGCTTATAACCTTATCAGCTTGTGAAATAACTGGAAGTAACATGGGTAGTAATATATTTAGCGTGGATTTTTGGGATAGACATGTAGGTTTAAAATCTGACACCATTAGTGACAAGGCTGGTATTTTTAGCAAGTTTTTGTTTTTGTTTTTTGGTACTGGGGATTGAACTCATGTCCTTGTGCTTGCAAGGCAGGCAGCAGAATCACTGAGCTACACCCCCGGCCCTTGAGCAAGTTTTTAACTTGTAAGCCATGTTGGCCCTGACTGTAAAATGAGTCCACTAAAAATGTACTTGCCCAAAATTTTAATTAATATTGAGATAATGTGTTAAGCGGGTACAGGAAGATTCAGTAAATGTTAGTCACTTTTATTAATTTTGAAATTTGTCTTAATTATATGGATACTTTTTAGTGATATTAATGATGATAGGCAAGTTCATTCTTAATATAAAATTGCGCTCTTGGGCCAGGGATTTAGCTCAGTGGTTCCACTGCCTGCCTCGCAACACAAGGACCCGGGTGCAATCCCCAGTACCAAAAAATATAATAAAATTGCACACTTATATCAGACAATTTTATTTAAAGATCACACAAGTGGTCTTAGGTATTTGGACAAGTGGAGAACTATTTTTTCTCTTTTTATATAACATGAAAATCACCGGAGTTGTTTGAGTCAGAACTGCATACTCATATATACTAGTAATTCTAAAATGTATTAATCCTGAAGTAAAACATGATTAATCATAGGAAATAGGACAGACGGAGACCATAAATTATCTTGTACCAGGGTGTTTCTAGATAGAAAATTCTGGGCCTGCATTATATAGACAGTAGATTATGAACCTTGTTCTGAGTGCTTACCATGATTATACTCTGACTCAGGAAATAGACTCTCAGCCAATAGAATGATTAAAGGTTTCCCCAGCCAGATTCTTTGTTTTTCTGTGAATGCTTTGGTAGAAATTATTATGACATTTTTTGTGAGTATTTACAGTGCTTGACATCTTATTTAATATTATCAACCAGTCTAAGAATTTGGGTGTTTGTTTTGGTTTTTTTATCTTTTATTGTAAGAAAACTACTATGGGAATATAACATCCACCTTTACAAAGTTGTTAAGTAATAGAGTTGTGAATATATGATTAATGATACACTGTACATAAAAGACATTATTTTCTTACTATTTCCCAGCATTTTTATTTTTATTTTTTGGCAGTGCTGGGCATCAAGCCTAGGGCCTGATGATGCATGGTAGGCAGGAGTTCTTTCACTTAGTTGCACCCATGGCTCTTGCAGCATTTTTTAAACTTTAACTGATACTCTTGTATATATATTTTTTTTTTAATCTCATCTTTTCAGAGTTAGTTGACATTTCAAATTACAATCCCAAAGATTGTAATACTCTATCACTACCCCTTCCCTTATTTCCATACTGGAGATGAACTCGGGACCTTCCCACTGAGCTGTATCCCCAATGTCTTTTTATGTTGAGACTCAGTCTCGTGGAGTTGCCCATACTGGGCTTGAACTTGTAATCTTCCTGTCTCAGCCTCACGGAGTGCTGGGATTACAAGTATAAACCATTAAATCCAGTTTACTCTTCTTTTTGAGAATAAGTGATTTGTATCAAAATTAAGAAAACACTTTGCGTGGATACTCTCTTATCTTAATAAACACTAAATAACTTCCACAGCCCTTCCATCTTTTCTTCTCCTTTCTTCTCAGTTAAAGATTTAACTCACAAAGCTTACTTCAGCAAGTACTAATATATTAATTTCATGATAAACCTTTTTGGATCATTAGGTATTTCTCATGCTTGTGTTCTGTCCCCTTTTTTTTCTTGCCCTCTCTGATCCATGATTTTAATTTTCCTCTTTAGACGAAGGCATGCAATCCACAGTAGTGACTCTACTTCTTCATCCTCCTCTGAAGATGAACAGCATTTTGAAAGGCGAAGAAAAAGGAGCCGTAACAGAGCTATCAATAGGTGAGTGCCATATTGGCTTTTAAAATAAACTACCTGCTAATATTTAGCTTTTTCTGAGACAGGGTCTCTTTATATGATTCAGGCTGGCCTTGAACTATGTATTCTGGGCTGGTCTTGAACTAATAGTGAACTTCCTGCCTCAGCCTCCCGAGTGCTGGGATTGCAGGCATGTGTGCCAATGCCCAGCATACCAGCTTTTTTTTTTTTTTTTTTAATTCTTACCGGGGATCAAACTCAAGACTTGCAAAAGCTTGTGAGGCAGGTTGTAGAACCACTGAGCTAAATCCCTGGCCCAACCAGCTAATTTTTAAAAAGTAGTACAGAAATAGAATAATTTGGGAATGGGGACAGCTTGGTTAATGAAGAAGTTCTATCACAGACTAATGTATAAAGCAGAGTTCTGTCTTATTAGAAATATCTACATCTAAAACAATAGGTCAGAGCATGTGGTGGTTTCTTCCAGACCATTATGTTGCTTAGGGAGCACTAACTTGAGGGAGTTTTTTTTTTTCAAATATATTTTTTCCACTTGCAATACATTCTTACTGAGGACCTCAAACAAAATTGGAAGCTTTACTGTTTTCATAACTCCGTGTATAAGCCTACATGTACCTAACAAACTCATATGATTTTTCACAGTAATTTTATGAACAAATAAGTCAAGGACATTTCATGTCCCTAGATGGGTCTGGGGTCTCCGGCCCACCCTGGAGTTTTCCTGGGCTTGTCTGTCTGGCACAGGAAGAAGAGTCAGAAGTCAGTGCAGAGTGAGAGGAAAGTATATTGAGAGAAGGAAGAGGTACTAAGCTGCTGTGGGGAGTTGAGCCCCAGAGCTGAGTACCGGCAGTCCTGGTGATGGGGCTGAGGTGCGGTCCCCAGTGACTGGGCAGCCATCCCCCTTATTGCTGGGGGTTTGGGCTCAGTAGTGGGAGGACTAGGGTGGACAGTGTTGCAGAAGCGGCATGTAGACTGCTTGTTGGGACACAACAGGGGTTGTTTTTCACTAAAGGGCCCCTCCCTTGTCCGAGCTTTTCTAGGCATACATGGGCAAATCAGAATGCAGTGCTGGGACTCCATTAGAACAGTTGTTGGCCAAGCAGTGGGAAGGAACATGATAGGTGACGGGGCATCCAAACTGTCTCTGTCTGAGCTCTGCTTGCCCATCATGTTCGGTTTGCCCTGCCTGATAAAGTAGACCGACCTAGCTGTGGCTATTGATGCATGAAATGTGGTGGATAATGCCAGTCTTTGTATAAATATGTTTAGATTTTAGGGACAAAAATACCAAAAAAAAAAAAAAAAAAAATGGATTATCTTTTAAGAAGCTATAATTGAAAATTTGTGCATCTTAAATTTCATAGCATAACTTTCTGGAGATGTTGCTTTCTTGCAGAGTAGTACAAGTATGGTTAGAAACATTGCGTGGAGTCTTTCAAGGTAACCAAGCAAGGAGGATTCTGAACATTGCACCACAAAGAAGTGATAAATGTATTAGGTGATGGATTTGCTGAATACCCTGACTTCATCACAGTGTATACATGTATCAAAACATCACACTTAACCATAAACATATAATGCATCAACTAAAAATGAAACAAAGAAGTTTCTCATGGAGTTGAGGCCAGCAAGAATTACTACTTAAAGCCAGCATGGTGTGCTTTTACTTGTGTTCAGTCAAGGCATTTCCTGAGACATTCAGGTATATTTCTCTAATGTAGACAGTCTTTGTTTATCCATGAAAATGAGAGTGCTTCTGGAAACTAGTGATACATTGTTGCTTGAGCAGGTTGCTGGTGAATTAGGAATGTTTTGCTGAGAGGTGATCAGAGTAGTTCAGGCCTGGAGACAGACTGGTTTCATTCTTAGCCCTAGCTCTTGCTACTTGGATGATCTTGGGCAAATTCCTTACCCTTCCTATGCCTCCGCTCCTCTAAAATGAGGAAAATCATATCTCATGAGACCGTTGTGAGGATTTAACGACAATACATGAAAGCACCTAAAACTAAACGTGTCTGGCAGATAACAGATGATCTGTGTGAGACCCTGCCATTACAGTGAACATTGCCACTTTCTGAATTCTCCACCATGAATTACTTTATGTACGTGTGGTATGACTTAAGGACTGAATATTTTCATTTGATTATTACAAAAATGATAATTTCTAACATGGCATTTGGGGAGGAAGTTGAGTTGATGGGTGTGTTATCTGAAATGTTTTTAATAGGTGCCTCCCATTAAATTTTCGGAAAGATGAGTTAAGAGGAATCTATAAAGATAGAATGAAAATTGGAGCAAGCCTTGCTGATGTTGATCCAATGCAACTGGATTCTTCAGTGAGTACTTTGTTTTGAAATGTATGTTTGAACTATAATATTCTTTATTTTAGTTTTATTTAGTTGAAACCTGTGAGTTGGGTGTGTTGGCACACACTTGTATTCCCAACACTGGGAGGCTGAGGCAGAAGAATCACAAATTCAAGTCCAGCCTGGGTGACCCAGTGAGGCCCTGTCTCAAAATTTAAAAATAATTTTTAAAGGGCTAGAGGAGTAGTTCAGTGAAAAGGCCCTATGTTCAGTCTCCAATGCTAAGAAATAAGGAAGAGGATTTTTTTTTTTCTTAACCGAAACTTTTAATATTTAACATTTTAATACTGATCAAAATGTGATATTGGTGGGCCGGGGTGCTGGTGCACACCAATAGTCCCAGCACTCAAGGGGTTGAGGCAGAAGGATTGCTGCAAGTTTGAGGCCAGCCTGGGCTAAGTAGTGAGTTTAAAGCCATTCTATACTACATAGCAAGACCCTGTCTCAGAACCAGATTGTTTTTTTTTTTTTATCTAATATTGTTAATGTTCTTTTCCATTACCAGGTACGATTTGATAGTGTCGGTGGCCTGTCTAGTCATATTGCAGCTCTAAAAGAAATGGTGGTATTTCCATTACTTTATCCAGAGGTCTTTGAAAAATTCAAAATTCAACCCCCAAGGTAATTTAATTATATTTTAATATTAGCCATAGTGCATACTATGCTGTTACTGCTTCTGGTGTATGAGTTTTACCTTTACTGATCAACCCATTTTTAAGTCTTACAACTCAGTTCCCTTTTCCTTATGCAACTTTTCTCCCTGAATCTTCTAGAATGGAGACACTGATTTTAAATTAGTAAGCTTTTTCTTTTTCTTATAAAGGTAATATTGTATAGACCAGTCACAGTTAAACATTGGTGACTTTTGAAGTAAATATAATTTAAGAAATTAAAAGATTAATAACATAAGAATGTTGGAAGTACCCAAAGTAATATTGTGAATTCGGAAAGACAACAAACTCCTGAAACTTTCTGTTTTTCCTTCCTTACAGTATACTTTCCCACCAAAATCAAAATACATGATTTTGTTGTATGATTGTATATGTAAGCTAAAGTGATATGAGCATGGCAAGTAAAAGAAAATGTTTCAAATAACAGGCTTTATAAGCTGTTTCTGTATGAATTTTACAGTATCAATTGCCCGGTTTTGTTTCAATAGTCTACTCTTTAATATAGTGCTAAAGTGTTTAACATGTTGTCTTACAGAGGTTGTTTATTTTATGGTCCACCTGGAACTGGAAAAACTCTGGTTGCTAGAGCACTTGCCAATGAGTGCAGTCAAGGGGATAAAAGAGTAGCATTTTTCATGAGGAAAGGAGCTGATTGTCTAAGCAAATGGGTAGGGGAGTCTGAAAGACAGCTTCGGTTGCTATTTGATCAGGTATGATATTGCAATTCATATCAATTTCTAATCTGTGTAGATGCTACATTGAATCCATTTCATAGAAATTAACTCAGAAGGGTGTGAGAAACCGAAAGTAGAAATACGGACTGAAATGTGTAATGGATGTTGGGAAATGGTGAGAGGAACAAGCAGGGAGGAAGGGAGAAAGGAAGGAAGGGACAAAAAAAGTGAAAGGGCTAGGGATTTAGCTCAGTGGTGCCTCTGCCTAGCTCACAAGCGCAAGGTCCAAGTTCGATCCCCGGTACCAAAAGTGAAAACAGAAGGGAAAAAAAATGAAAACAAAACTTTTGTACATAGGGAGGGGAGGAGGCTTGGGTGGAATGTGATAAAATAAAATAAAAATTTGGGCTGAGGATTTAGCTCTGGTGCCAGCACCTGCCTCACAAGCACAGGGTCCCAAGTTCAATCCCCAGTACCCCCAAAAAATACATAAATAAAATAAAAAAATTTTTAAAAAGAAATTAACTCAGAATTGCACCAAAAACATACTTTTTCTTTATTATTTTCTTTTATATGTCAAGATAACACTGACTTAAAATTCACCGTTTTATTGTTAGAAGAGAAGGAAATAATTTAGTCTGCATTCTTTGGAGTCATGGGTCTCATACCTTGTGAAAAAGTGGGTCTTGAACTTCCAGTGATAAGTAGTAGTAAATAATGTCTGAACAGGGAGTTGAAGATTAGTCCGCCCTACAGTGGCTTTGTATTGATGGCACATTGTGAGATAATACGTTTTGCTCTTCTGAAACATACTATGTACATGCTTATAAATCTCTCTGGAATTCTCTGAAGTTCTGTTCTTTATGCTTTTCCATCCTGACGTGGAAGAAAACTGTCACTAATTTCTTTGTCTTCATAGTCTTCAGTATGTATTTGTGTGTTTGCCCCAGTAACTGCAGCTGTATGAAATCTAAGGTATAAAACCAGCAGAGTATGTCCTTTGAATGTTTCCAGTTGAAAATGTGAATTAAACTATGTTATTAAGCTTTGTCTGGGTCTTTAAAGCATAATTCGTAGAATTTACAGTTTTATAAGTTATAAATACTTTTAAGTTTGCAAATTCTAGTACGCAGTTTCAAATAGTTTGAAATGGTGTATGTTCATATTTATAAATCACATTCTAGAGCAAATTTGAAAATGGATAATATTGAATTCAAATATTTGAAGCTTTTTATGATAACATGTAAATGACCTCCAGACATGCTTTTAGGCCTATCAGATGCGCCCATCAATTATTTTCTTTGATGAGATCGATGGTCTGGCTCCAGTACGGTCAAGCAGGCAAGACCAGATTCACAGGTAATACTTTCTACCTTTTCCCCATATTTGAGCTAAATCAGTGTTATGTGAAGGAATGTTACATTGTGAAAGAAACTGTACAAGCAAATGATAGCCCTTTTATGCTACCAGAACCCTAGCACATTGTACACAAAGAAAGGGTGAATCTATTTTCAGAGTATTCTAAGTAGTTTAAAATTGTGGTTACGGAAGATTTAGCTCATGATACAAACAGGAGTCCCCAGGCCATTGAGAGAAATAAGGTGAGCAGTGGTCAGAGGAGGGCTGTAGTGGAAAACATGGCCGAGTGCCCTTGCACATCACACAGCCAGCTGTCGTTCATTAGCTCCATCCTGCTAGCTCCTCTGCATAAACTGAGACTTGAGAATCAGATCTTATCCGAGTTTTATATTCAGAATTTTAAATATCTTAAATGCTTCCAACTAATTCATGTATTTTGAAGATCTTTTCTGGGTCAAACAAAATATGTCTTAGGGCATTATCACATTATTATTGTTGTTGTTGTTTAAGATTCTAATGCTAAGGGCCAGGGATTTAACTCAGTGGTACTGTGCCTGCTCTGCAAGTGCAAGGTCCTGAGTTCGATCCCTGGTAACAACAACAACAAAAAGATTCTAATACTAGAACTACCCCTGCCCGCCTGTGGAGCTTGAACCCAGGGCCTCACATGCTAGCCAAATGCTCTACCACTGAGATATACCTGTGGCTTGTTTTTTTTTGGACACAAGGCCTTGATAAGTTGCAAGGCTGTCTTCGGAGTCCTCATACCCAGCCTCCTGGTATGCAGTGTTAGAGGCATGTGTCACTGCTCCTAGCGTGGCCTTTTCATATAAAGATGGAAAAACTACACTTTTCCCCCATGATTAGATACTTATCCAAGGGAACACATTTCCTAGAGCCACTGTCCCATCTTGTGTCTAAATTACCCTTAGGCCCACTTCATCTTTAATGTTTCAGAGCTTCTTTTCAAATGATCTCATGAATCGACCCTAAAGCACATGTTTGCAAGCCTTCATATATGGCAGTATTGTTTCATATTGTAGACAAAGTGGATGGATAAGATATAATAATGTGATTAGGTAGGTTTTGACTTGTCTGATCTTGAACAGTATTTACTGTAGCCTTAATAGCTTTCTTTATTTGATGAAAGATGACTTCATTTATTGAGTAAATTGAAATATCAAGTACCATAGTAAATAATTTTATCTGTGCCATGTTCTGTTAGTGGTCAAAGACTGTTAATATGTGATTGTATGTCTTTATCAATCACGTAGATATTGCATTAAGTCACTTTCCTTTTTTTCTTTTTCTTTTTTTGGTACTGGGGATTCAAGTTGGTACTTGCACTTGCAAGGCAAGTGGTGGAACCACTGAGCTAAATCCTTGGCCCTTGAGTCACTTTTCCTAGAAATTAGCTCAGAGAAATTGTGCCAAAAACATAAGTCTTCAACTTAGGTGTACTCTACAAGGCCCACTTTGTCAGTCAACAAATTAGGAATAAATCTGAATTATAAACATTCTCTTGAAACAACTCATTCATAAGTTCGGGACTTACTATATCCCGATAGCAAACTTGGGCTGGGGATTTAGCTCAGTGGTTCGGTGGCCTGCCTTGCAAGTGCAAGGACCTGAGTTTAATCCCCGGTACCAAAAAAAAAAAGATAGCAAACCTGTTAGAGATGAGTGCCCAAACTACCACCAAACCCACTTACTTATTGCCAAGTGCAAACACTGCAATTAAACCTAAATGTTGAGGTTTTTGTTTAGAAAAGAAATAACTCATACATTAGCATCTTTTGTCTTAAAAACTCAATAATGGAGCTTTTTTTTTTTTTTTTTTTTTTAAAACTAATATTTGAGTTGAAACTTATCTGTTCAGAACCTATCAAGTAAGAATAGTGGGATTTTTTTTTTTTTTTTTTTGGTACTGGGGATCGAACTTGGGTCCTTGCTCTTGGGAACCAGGCAGCGGAACCACTGAGCTAAATTCCCGGCTCATAATAATGGAGCTTTTAGCTTTTAACAATAAAACTTTTTATTGAAGGGTGAAAGATTGCACTTGGTGTGCTTTTGCACAAATATTGTGATCTTGCCGTTCATTGTGCGCACACTGACAATTTGTCAGACCATGGCTGTTCGTTAGTTTGAAAGCCGCACATGCAGCACTTACTCATCTTCCAGTCTGCTTCCGGTACTAGACGTCAGGAGTATAATTCCAAGCTGAACACAGCTGCTCAAAGGCATGTGATGATCCAGAGTAAGAAGTGCAATCCCAAGTGCTTTCACTGACTTGAAGTTACTTGGCAGAGAATTCTCTCTGTAAGGATTTAATTTTCAGAACTACCCACTGTGCTGGCCTTTGTCCTACCTTCAGACTCCATCCTCATGCTGCACGCAAGTCATAGAATTTATTTTTCCAGCTAGAGCTTTCTGGAGATTCCAGTAGCTCCATTTCCACATTTCTAAAATCTTCACTGATATGAGCAGGAATGATCAGGTTCTTCACATCTGGCTGAATCTGGAGAAGTAAGGAAACATGGGGTTGTCTCCAACTTACAGAACAGTAACAATCTGTTACTGAAATTCTCCTTGCAGCTGCCACCATGCTGGAAAATTACTTGTAGATTTCCTGAGGGCTTGTAGGGTTTATCTGCAAATGTAGAGTTTTCTAAATACGTTTTTAGATATGAAGTATTTCAGCTGCCCACTTTCTTCAAGGTCTCTCAAAAACCTGAAGTTTTCTCTCAAATGTTTTGATACCACAAAACATCCTTTCTGCTATTTTCCCTATATTGTGAATTTTTTTGTTCTGTACATTGAAGTTTAGTATAAAATCTGTAAAAAGTATTTCTTACACATACCTAAATATATCTTATTATGAAATATTCTATTAGAAGTAATTAAACCTGCATCTATTAAGCCTCTGCATCTATTAATTTACCAAAAGATACAAGGACATGTAAGTGACCAGATTGGGAAGTAATTGACCTACTCTAGAATGTGGAAATGAAATTTTATAAGACAACCCAGATTTTTAACACATGACACAGGAAAATGTACAATGGAACTGTTAAAATTTTGAGGGTATAGCTTAGTGGTAGAGTGCTTGCCTAGCATACTCAAGGCCCTGAGTACCTCCTCGTTCAAAAAGATTGTTTTAAGACAATTTGTTGTTGTTGTTTTTTAAGTGGATATTAGATATTAAGGAATTACTGTTTACTTTGGGGTGATGGATTCTTAGCAGATTACCTACATGTAACGTGGATTATTTTATGGATTAAATAACGTGAAGTTTGGGGGTATTTTTGTTTGGTTGGTTTGATTTTTTTTTGAGACACGGTCTTGCTATGTAGTCCAGGCTGTTTAGTTCGGGCTGGCCTCAAACTTGAGGCCTTCTTCTGCCTCACCCTCCTAAGTGCTAGGATTACAGACGTGCACCATCGTGCCTGGTGGCTATGGTATACTTTTTTTTTTTTTTTTAATGGTTTTAGTTGGTTTAGGGAGTTTTGGTTTTTTAAAATATTTATATGCACATATATATACTTCATTTATTTTGAGGAGGGTTCTCTCTGTTGCTCAGGCTGGCCTTGAACTCCTGGACTTGGAGCAGTTCTTTTGCCTCAGAACAGATAGGACACTGGCTTGGAACTAATTCTGTGACAGTGGCACGGATAAAGCATTGCACTATAGCCTTCATGGCGGTGGCTGGCTACACAGCTGGCATCTCTGAGCTGGTGCCCTGTCTTTTCTTTTTAGAAGAAAATTGATGAAAACAGAGAGATCGGTTTAATTAAAATCCAATTTTTCCATCACTCTGAGAGCTGAAGCCAGAGGATCACAAGTTTGACTCCAGCCTGGACAACTTTCTGGAGCACTTCTCAAAAGGGGCTGGGGAGGGCTAGGGATGTAGGTCAGTGCCACAACACCTGTCTTGCAGGCACAAGGTCCTGAGTTCGGTCCCCAGTACCAAAAAAACGAAAAGAAATGGGGCTAGAGAAATAACTCATTTTCAAAGCCGTGGATTCATTCCCAGTCCCCCAACCCAAAATTCCATATGTTAATGTTTTATGTATAGTCTACTTGATTTTGGTGTCTTGCGTTTAATAATTTATGTATAATGGTACATTTCATAATTTTTTAAATGGTCCTTTTTACATGGAACTATTAGAATTTTTTTGATGTCGTATCCTTGACCAGGGATTCCCAAGTTCCTTTGTGAAATCATTATTTACGAAATAATTTTCATGATTCATTTATTGCACTCTAAAGACTGTGTTTTCTGTTAATTCAGTTTCTGTACTCCATGTAATACATTATTTTACCGGGGTTTTTTAATCCACTGAAAGTAACTAGATACCCTGAGAGAATTTGTTTATGTGTTTAATGTATTAAATCTTACCAAAGAAGAAATTACTGAGTGCCATGTCATATGTCTTATCTTTCGATTTAGCTCTATTGTTTCCACTCTCCTGGCTCTCATGGATGGTTTGGACAGCAGAGGAGAAATTGTGGTCATCGGTGCCACCAACAGACTGGACTCCATAGACCCCGCATTACGAAGACCTGGTCGCTTTGACAGAGAATTCCTTTTTAGCCTACCTGATAAAGATGTAAGAATTTAATAGCATCACTCAGATTTTGACAAAATATGTTGCTCTAAGTATAATAATGCCCACCTAAAATTATTCTTAAAATTCTTTAAATTTAAGCACAGCCTTTGGATTGTCAGTTTTGCTTCAGTGGCTTAAGAAGTAATCAGTCTAGCCATTTCCTTATTCTTGGCTTTTTCCTGAACACCATCATTATAATAATTTTAATTCATTATTTTAAAGCCGTGTAAAGCTTTTGATAACCATGTAAGAAAATATGGGTAGAACTGTCAGTACTTTAAAAACAGTCTTAAAATGTGCCAGAATAAACTATTTCAGTAGTTTCTTAATTTCTTTTATGTACTTTTATGAAAAATGTAACCCAGGCATTGTAAATGCGAATCTGTTTAACAATGAAACTGATTTCCTTGAACTCTTACAAATACATCTTTTTGCTCATTTTTACTGTTTTATATTTCTTTTTATGTTAAGTATTGATTGCTTTAAATTTTAAGACAGTAGTAGTTTGTCTTGAAATTATTCTAAACTTAAGAGCACTTCATTATTATATTTGCAAAAATATCAAATTGTTTTTATTCATAGGCTCGAAAAGAGATTCTAAAGATTCACACAAGGGATTGGAATCCCAAACCATTGGACATATTTCTAGAAGAAGTAGCCGAAAACTGTGTTGGTAAACATTGTTTTAAGCAGTTAAAGGATATGTTACATTCATTTCAAAATTGGAACAAGTTGTAGTGTCTTGCAAAGTTATGTTTAAAAACCCAAGATTGTATTTGTTTCTCTTTCACTTGTGGCATGTTTTCATCTTCAAATCCCTAGATGTCAAATACATTCCTGGCACCTTGGTCATTGGGAGAATTTGAGAACAAAGTAGATAATAATAAATATCTTTCATGGAATTTTTACATTTTCCTGGTCACACTGTTCAGCTTCATTTGTACATTATTTCCATGTAATTTTCACAGTAGTCCTGTGAATGAGGCAGTGTGATCTCTGATTTGCATAGGAAGAAATACCTGCAGAGCCCGAGTTATCTCCAAAGATCACACAGCTAATAAATAACGAAGTAGAATTTGAACCTAGTCTGATTTTTAAACCCTTGCTCTTAACCCTTAGGCTGTGCAGTACTTTGTGATTGCACACTGTGCTTTGCTCAGATTGGCTGGCTGATTGGTTGATTGGTTGATGGCTATTGCCATCCTATAAGTTCGTTGCATAAAGGAGAATTTTACTCCTATTACTTATAAATATTTTGCTATTATGTAGATAGGTTGACTTTTAATTTTTGTTTTAACCATGACCATGTTAGAGTTTTCAGATTCTCTTTTGTTTGCTTGTTTATTTTCCCTCTGGCTGCTTGGCATAGGCTACTGTGGTGCAGACCTTAAGTCAGTATGCACTGAAGCTGCCTTATGTGCTCTGCGTCGACGTTACCCACAGATCTACACAACTAGTGAGAAGCTGCAGTTGGATCTCTCTTCAATTAATATCTCTGCCAAGGACTTTGAGGTAGCCATGCGGAAGATGGTACCAGCCTCCCAGAGAGCTGTGGCATCCCCCGGGCAGGCCCTGTCTGCCATTGTGAAGCCCCTCCTGCAGAGTACTGTGCACAGAGTCTTAGAAGCATTGCAGAGAGTCTTTCCACATGCAGAGGTCGAAGCAAGTAAAGCGCTAGATGCAGGTACAAAACTTCGTAACTACACAAATATTTTTTGGTTTTTTAAAAATTTCATTGAAACATGCTTATTTGCTAACTGAAACATTATGTAAAAACTTAATAATTTTTTTGTTTTGTAGATATTTCTTGTCCTCTTCTAGAAAGCGATTTGGCATACAGTGATGATGATGTTCCATCAGTATATGAAAATGGACCTTCTCGAAAATCCTTTCATAAAGCAAAAGAAAATTTTAATTTTCTTCATTTGAATAGGTATATTTTCCTTGCCAGCAAATCTTTTGGTGTAAATTCCCTAAAATATGTGAGATTTGTTTGATAGGATAACAGGTGGTAACCAGTCTGCTTTTTACTTAAGTTAAAGTATCAGAAATATTTTGTTGCAGTTGTCAGCATTTGATAGTACTAAAATATGCAATAGTCAGTTGTTACCAGAAACTAAAGGAACCACGTTATTGTGATTGGCTGGTAATGTAGGCAGGACCTGCAGAAGTTCGTAGTCAGTCATTTGGGAAAAACAGTTAAGCTTATTTTTGGTAAAACATTGATTTTTTTCTTTAATCACTTTTTCAGAAATACTTGTTACCAACCCATGTCTTTCCGACCAAGAATATTAATCGTGGGAGAACCAGGATTTGGACAGGGTTCTCATGTGGCACCAGCTGTCATCCATGCTCTGGAAAAGTTCACTGTCTATACACTGGACATTCCTGTTCTCTTTGGAGTCAGCACTGCATCTGCTGAAGAAACATGTGCCCAGGTACTTCCTTGTTGCTGAAACAGACAACTGTAGGAAGAAGCTGTCTTCCAGAGGCCAAACTAAAATTATCTTATTATTTTTCACATTGTGTTTGGGGGGGTGTTGTTTTGATTTGGTTTGATTTTTGTTCTGGTTTATTAAATAGATCTATGTGTAATTGCTTGATCATTGAAGAATATAGATTTAAGTCTCAGATATATCACTTAAGCTGTATGGCCTAAGGAAAGTAGATCTCAGCCTTGTTTTCCTTATTTGCAAAATAGAGATAATAATATGATTATTGTGAGAATTAAATGAGTCTTGTTAAAACAATGACTATTCCTTAGTGTCGGGTATTCTGTGGTTTTTGTTGTTGCAACTTTTATATTTAATTTTTAAAATACATGAGTATTTTATATTTATATTTCTGTTTAACTTTGATTACCACAACAAAAATTATTTTATATATCTTGAGCTGTTTTGTAGTCTTTTGAAGCAATTATGTTTTCCCAAAAATGATACTTTGTAAAACACCTAAAAACAGTTGTGGGAGGAGGGAGAAAACATTTTTAAAACTTTAGGGTTTTCTATAATTCTGGGAAGTTAAACATTGTTTCAAGCTAATGGAATTAGCTTACTAATGTGCTTATTCTCAAACTGAGGTGTTTTTTGCTTTTTTTCATTTACGTTAGGTGATTCGTGAAGCTAAGAGAACAGCCCCAAGTATAGTCTATGTTCCACATATTCACTTGTGGTGGGAAGTGGTTGGGGCAACACTCAAAGCCACATTCACCACATTATTACAGAATATTCCTTCATTTGCTCCAGTTTTACTGCTTGCAACTTCTGACAAACCCCACTCTGCTCTGCCAGAAGAGGTAATGTATGGAAGAAACATTGTTAGTCTTAAAAAGACAGTTGTCTGTCAAAGTCAACACAGCTTAATTGTAAAATTTCAGGTGTTACGGAAGTAAATAAAATAGGATGAAGTTATCTGTTAGCTGTTTGGCCTGTGTAGAATGGGTAGGATGTTATATGTGTATAGTAAGGAAATTATAGTTTGCTCTTTTACCAAAATGGCTTTTTCTTTTTTTGTTTGTTTGTTTTGTTTTTGTTTTTTTGTTTTTTTGTTTGGTTGGTTGGTTTTTGGTTTTTGGTATGGGGGATCGACCCTTGCGCTTGCGAGGCAGGCATAGTGCCACTGAGCTATATCCCTAGCCCCAAAATGGCCTTTTCATTGTCTTGATGTGCTATACTTTATTAACCCAACTTTCTGTAGTTAGGTATTTTAAGTATTTTCCATTATACTGCTGCATTGAGCATCCTTGTGTTTTAATTTGTATGAGCGTTACTGTATTTTTTTTTTTTTTTCTGATTTTTCAAGACAGGGTCTTGCTGTGTAGTTCAGGCTGGCCTTGCCTTCTCTATGTAACCCACGCTGGACTCAAAATCTTGGCAGTTCTGCTGCCTCAGCCTCTGGAGTGCTGGTATTACACATGTGCGCCACCACACTTGACTGCTGTATGGATTTTTAAGCATGATTCCTAGAAGCAGAATAGCTTGTAGTAATAGTACTAAATTACCATCCAAGTTTGTGCTAATTTAAACAGCTACCAGTAGTAAACAAAACCTCATGCCTCTTCTGCCTAGCATTTTCTTTTCTTACATATTTTTCAGATGTAGGCCTTTTTCTCAGATCTCGGCTCTGATGTTACCTCAGCGGCCTTCCTTGGTCAGATTTCCTCTGCCCATCACTGGCTCTCATTTCCCTGGTTAACATGCATAACTCCCTGTTAGGAAATGCGTGTCCTTCCAGATGTACAATGTGCACAGAGTAGTTCTGCCTTCGTATCTACTAAGCACATTCCTGTATGGGTTATGCTTCTGTGATTTATTTTTTAATTTTATGCTACATTTTTGTCTTTTTAAATTTTTGTTATTTCCCTCTCTACCTGTCTTTATTTTTAAGAAATAAGCTCTCTTTATGTTGCCTGGCTTGGCTCAAAGCCCATAAATTAAATTGTCCAGGGTGTGTGCCACCCTTATATAGGGATAACACTTTGAGGCAGAAAGAGAAATAAATATGTTTTAAAAGTGTAGAATAGTAACAATACAAAGAAAACTTCGGGCAAGCAGCGCTGGAGCATGTGGATGGGGCGTGGGGTTGCGCAGGTTAGGAGAGGCCTTGGCATTCAGGCTATGAAGTGACATTGCACAGAGACCTGCAAAGAAAAAGGCAGGGAGCGTCTGGGCACTTGAGGAGCAGAACAAGGTCCTGATGGCCAGAGAGCAAGTGCAGAGGCCTTGAAGCTGAGAGACTAGTGGAGTTGCTAAGAGACCAGTTGTGGCCTGGCAGCTCAGCTTGAATAACTGACAGTGTAACCTGAGAGTTGGGAAATGTATTACAGACTCTGGGTGGGGAGGGTCTTTAAAGGTTCGGTTCTAGTTTGGTTCATTATCTAGTTCTGTACTCTCCTTCACAGTCTCTCTTTCACGTGAATATGCTGCATAAAGCGAAAACTTTCCTCCCAGTTTTGTTAGCTCTGACCATTCTAAACATTTACTTTATTTTGAGGCTTCCATTTCTTAATCTATCTCTCAAATAGCATGTAGGATTATAGAATCTATCTAATAGTATGTGAATGCTCATGTTCATTTCTGCCTCCAGTGTGACCCACACTTCTTTATACTGATCTAATTTCTTCTACGCTGTGATATATTCATAGGAATTACTGTTGGAGTAGTTCTCGTGTTCCGCTAATGACACAGGGCAGCTGATAGCTTGCAGACTTGCCCTCTGCCATGTGGTCATGACAGGCTGAGAGGTTTCTCCTTTCGTCATTCACTCCAGGTTTCTTCCATTCAGGCAGTGGAAAGGTCCGGCCCTGCGAGTTCCCCATCTGGAAGTGGCGGCTCAGCCAGTCAGGTGTACACATGTCACACTGTAAGGGACGCTAGGAAACAGGACATGCAGTGTGCAGGCCGCCTCACATTGCACTTCGTTGTATAGTTTCTTTAAAATTGAGTCACTTTGCTTTTCCTATTCTTTAGAAAGGCTATATCCAAAATAAATGAAGGATAAAGTACCCAAGTTGAGAAGCCAGCTAACCCAGTCAGTGATTGCCGCTCAATGTCCATATTGTGCCATTGTCTTCTATTAACTGTCAATTGAAACTTCATCAGTCACTTTGCAGTTTGTAATACAGATAATGAAATTATGCTATTGGTAATAAGATAGACTAGCCAAACCTCTCTTTGTGTGAATATAAAAAATATAATCATTTTAACCTTGGGAAATTTTATTAAGCCTGAGAATTCTGCTTAGATTTTTGTCTTGTTTTTTGGTGCTGGGAATCAAATCTAGGGCTGTAAATGTGCTAAGCATATGCTCTGCCACTGAGCACCCAGCAAAAAGATCTTTTCTAAGAGAATAACTTTTCCCCATTCAGGGTATCATTTCCCAGCGAGTATCCCAGTACAACACTATAGTAGAGGAAGAATTGCTAGAGTAGGAATTGCTCGTTTTATAAGTGAATAGTCTAGATTCACAAATAGGTGAGTCCACTTTGAGTGTTATATAGATTTTAGTGAGTCCGTGATGCCATCTGTATAGCATTGAGCATGAGGAATAGTGTTTCAGAGTCTGTCCATCTCAAAACTAGTCAGAAAATGAATCGGTATGCAGGAACACCTTGAACTCTCACAATTCATCGGTCTGAATGGATGAGAAGTAATGGCACCTGTAGATTAGAAATGCACAAACCCATGAAATTCAACACTGGGATTAGAGTGATGAAGATAGCCATGAACCATCATATGTGCACAAATCTGAAATGTCTGGTTTCTTGCTCTCAGTCAGCACTAGGAAGAAGTTGAAAAACACCTGGGGCAGTTCTGAGGTGATGGGATTTCTTCATGTTCAGCCCCTGTAATGAGCAGCAGTGAGCAGGGCTATTTGTCCTCTGGTAGAGAGCAGTGTCTTCTATATGGTTGCTAAAGTCCCAAGAAGAGGGGAAGCCCTGTGCCCAGAAGACAGATTACAGGCACATTTTGTGTCTAGTTTGGTTGGTTTCTTCCAGAATCACTGGAGGTAGAAGCTACAAAGCCCAGAATAGTACCTGTGGACAGAGAAGTTTCAGAGGCAAGACAAGCTTTCCAGATAAGCATTGAGAGAGGGCCATCTTGGAGACAGTCATATCTTACGTGTGTCTCAAACAGACTGCTGTGACAAAGAACCAGTTAGAGACTTTTATAAATAAAATATCCTAGTTAACGAAAGTAAAACTCCTGAAGGGTGAAAGGAGCAGACATAGGTGAAGAGGAAATGAACAAGGAAGAAGAGTGGTAGAGCTGTGAAAAAAAAAAAGTACCACTAAAAAAATAGAAATGTGCCACATAATTTCCAGGCCACCAGGAAGGGAAATGGTACAGATTCCAGTAAAAATTTCAAGAAAATATAAGTGAGTTAATTCTAAACTTTAATGTAGAAGAACAAAGCGCTTGATTATGGGGGGGCGTTACTAGGGATTGAACCCAGGACCTCTCTACTAAGCTACATCCCTCAGTATTTTGCCCCCAAGCACACATCTTTAAATATTGAAACAGAGACTCACCAAGATGCCCAGGCTGGGCTTGAACTTAAGAGTTCTGTGTTGGCCTCCCAGAAAGCTGGATTGCAGGCATGTGTTACCACACCCAGCGAAGTGCTTGAATTTCTAAGAAAATTTTGAAAACTTAGTATGGACCTTGGCCTGCTTTTTTTTTTTTTTAATAGCAGGCAGCGCTGAGGAATAGCCTACCAAAAGCACTCCACAAAGCTGCAGTAAGTAAAGTGGTGCCAGTCAGGTCAGAATGGATAATAGAGTACGTGGTAGGCTGTATACAAAGTAGTCTTTGTGCTGCTGTAATGAAAGATCTTGGTCTGAGAGTAATTCATAAACAATAGGAATTTTTTTCCTTGCAGTTCTAGTGGCTACTGAGGCCGAGGTCTAGGCACCAGAGATTCACTGGTGATAGCACTTCTCTCAAGACACCACCCAGCTGCTTGCATCCTGTCCTCACATGTTGGAAGGTGCAAGGGCACACAAAGGGCCACCTTGTCCCCGCTGGCCTTTTGTGAGGCATTATTATTATTATTATTATTATTATTATTATTATTAAATTTACTTTTTTGGTACCGGAGATCGAACTCGGGACCTTGCACTTGCAAGGCAGGCACTAAGGCCACTGAGCTAAATCCCTAGCCCAGGCGTTATTTATTTATCCCTTCCTGAGGGTTCTACTGGTTAGTGGCCTGGCTTTGGGGATTACATGTCACCATGACTACAGCAGTACTCTTAGGGTACAGGAGACTTCAGGGCTGAAGGGGCAACAGCTATGCATGTAAACTTCTGTATGTCAAAGACAACATCAACAAACTATACAAAAATGGTACTTGTGAGTAATATCCCCTAAGAACATTAGTAATACTGGAAAAGGTTGAGAGCTTTGTTGTGTGAAATATCTTTGAGCACCTGTTTTGCCTTTAATTTCTTGTGTGTGTGTGTGTGTGTGTGTGTTAACATAAATGTAACAGAACTTGACATTTGAACCATCACTAAGCATGTGATTTAGTGCCATTAGGTATATTCCTGATGTTGAGTATTACCGCTCCCCTTTTCCAAAATTTGGTCTTTATTGCAAATGGAGACTCTTTATTTATTAACCCATTTATGCTCAAGATTAAAATTTTTTGAATTTTTGCATGGAATTCATATATGTTTCCAAGAACAAGAATTCAAAGAGAATACAAGACTTCTCGTCCTTCCTTTCCTACCCCTGGTGACTTGTCATACTCTCAGACTCTAAGAATTTATTTTAATTACTGATAGAAGAATATAAAATGCAACATTTGTCTTTTTTAAATATTTGTCTTTTTGTTTCTGGCTTACTTCAGTGTGCATGCTGCATTGTGCATCTAAACGTTACTTTTTAGGCTAAATAATTTTTCATTGCAATGTGCACCAGTTTATATATTGATCTGATAGATAAACATTTGGGCTTTTCTCCCTCTTGACTTTTGTGAATAATGCTGCTGTGATTATTGGTGTAAATGCGGCTGTTTGAATTTTCACTTTTAGTTTTTTGATAAATAGTGATGGAACTATTGGATCACATAGTAATTCTGTCTAGCTTTGGCTTTTTTTTGGCGGTGGAGGGAGGAGTTAACCAGGGATCAAACTCAGGACGTTATGCTTGCAAATCAGGTGGCTGAACCAGTGGGCTAAATCCCTGGCCCTGTTTGTTTAACTTTTTGAGAAACTATCTTAGTGTTTTCCAGCAGCTGTATCGTTTTACATTCCTACCAGCAATCCAGTTTCTAGTTTCTGCGTGTCCTTTGCCAACACTTTATTTTTATGTCTGTAATTTTTATTGAACAGCCACTCATTTTTGTATTTCACATATCACACTGGTTGTAAAAGTTAATCAGGCCAGGGATTTAGCTCAATGGTTCCGCCGCTTTGCCTCACAAGTGCAAGGGCCTAAGTTTGATCCCCAGTACCAAGTAAAAAGTTTTCTTAATTAAAAAATAATAATAAAATATTGTCAGTTGCTGTGTTGATTGTAGTTTGAATGCTTGTGTTTTAAGAGGAGTCTATGGTTTTTGGTTCCTAATTTATGGCATATGCAGTTTATTCATAAACAATGTATTTAAAAGACGTTTAAAAACATCACTTCTTGATTATATAAATTTTGATTAAAGATGTGTATAACAGCTTACTGTTGTATTTATTCTGTATATATTGCATTATTTCCTTTCTTAAGGTGCAAGAATTATTTTTCCATGATTATGGGGAGATTTTTAATGTCCAGTTACCAGGCAAAGAAGAACGGACAAAATTTTTTGAAGATTTAATTCTTAAACAAGCTGCTAAGCCTCCTGTATCAAAAAAGAAAGCAGGTAAGTTAACCGTATCAAAGTTTAATATATAGTAATTTATTGACAGCTGTTTAATAGCATAAATTGAAAGCCTCAGTCATGTGATTGATACAGCGACTGCTTAAAAATCTATGCTTCCTCCTGTCCAGATAGAATTCTTGAGGCCCACAAGGTGTTTCATAGTATGACCCCATTCTGTCCTTCCAGGCATATTTTTTACTTATGTTTTACCTTTTCCTTACCTGTTCTTGCTAAAAACACTTTGTCTTTATTTATAACATGCTCTCATTCTTACAGTTTTGCTGTCAGTAACACTTCCCGTGGCCCCCATTTCTGTCTACAAGATCTACTTAAGCTTTTAGTAGAGCTTAATTTTTTATTATGAGGTTTTCCTTGATTCACCAGGCAAAATTAATCACCCCATCATAGTTTTCTTCATACTGTGAATCAGACATTGGATATTGTTAATTATATCCCTTACTTCTTCATATGTTGCCAATTATTGGGACAGATCTCGTATTCCTCCTAAGCATCTGTACTCCCTGAATATCAGTAAAAGCAAAATTTTTTGTTATGTAAACCACATTTTTCATTTGTTCAAAAACTAGTAAAGAAAACTATAGTGAGAACATTCTTACCTGGAAAATAATGTATTTTCAAGCATTTAATAGTCTATTAAATTATCTTGAGATAAAACAGAGGCAACGACTTTGAGGAATTACCATTTTAAATAACAAGTTATCAGTTATTTCCAGAGATGTAAGGGTAGATAGATTATGGTGGTATTTCCATATTCCAAGTGCTTGGGTTCCTGGCTCATGTAAGGAAGACAACCCTACAGGTGCTGGAACTGTCACCGCAGTAATATGCAAGAGTAGGAACTAAAGTTTTCCCTTCCTGTGCAGTTTTGCAGGCCTTGGAGGTCCTGCCAGTAGCACCACCACCTGAGCCAAGACCACTGACAGCAGAAGAAGTGAAACGACTGGAAGAACAAGAAGAAGATACTTTCAGAGAACTGAGGATTTTCTTAAGAAATGTCACACATAGGCTTGCTATCGACAAACGGTTCCGAGCATTTACTAAGCCTGTTGACCCTGACGAGGTATTAATTTACCGTTTGGAATCAGATGTGTTCTAAACTACAGGGATAGTTCATGTAGTTCCTTGCTACATTCTGAACTGGTTATCTCTGTATGGAAACATGTATTGAGATATACATGCAGAGACTAAATTGTATGTGTCATACATTGTCCTGTCCTGCAGAAAATAGACAGTCATTCTGCCAAAGCCAAACATTCAGAAAGTTGTTTGAGAATGTCGCTGTGCTGCATGATGTTGCCATGAGCTGCACATTTGGAATTAAGTAGAGTCAGGTCTTGAGTTGACAATTGAACTGTGAAAGATACAGGATATTATTGGAGGAGACAGCTGCTGAAGAGTAGAAATAAAATAGCCTTAGAGTCAAAGCTTTCATATGAATATATTATCCTTATCTTTTTATTCTCTGCCCTATAATTTTGTTTGGCAAAGAAATGTCAAATGCTTTGTTTATGTTTTGAGTTAATTTAGTGATTTGATCATTTGCTTGAATTTTAGGTTCCTGATTATGTCACTGTGATAAAGCAACCGATGGACCTGTCATCTGTAATCAGTAAAATTGATCTACACAAGTATCTGACTGTGAAAGACTATTTGAGAGATATTGACTTGATCTGTAGTAATGCTTTAGAATACAATCCAGACAGAGATCCCGGAGGTGAATATTAGTACTTTCTTTTTCAGGATTTATTGGGGCTGAGTAAATAATAAGGATTAATTTTTTTTCATGTCAGGTGCTATCATATAATAATTTAGATTGACAATGCTGTTTAAACGTCACAAGCCGGGCATGGTGGCACACGCCTGTAATCTCAGCACTCGGGAGGCTGAGGCAGGAGGATCGCTATGAGTTCAAGACCAACCTGGGCTACATAGTGAGTTCTAGGTCAATCTCAACTACATAGTGAGACCCTGTGTCAAAAAAATGAGAACTAAGACCTGGCATGTAAAGGTACAAGATCCCAGTAATGAATATAACTGTAGTGTCTACCTAGAATGTACCAATAAATTCAATTTAAAAAAAAAAAAAAAAAAAAAAAAAAAAAAAAAAAAAAAAAAACACAAAAACTCACAATCCCCTTTCTGCATTCTATAGACCAGGAAGGTGAAGTTCAGAAAGGCTGAAAACCATGCTCCAGGTCACACTGTCAGGAGGGCCGAGGCCAAGGCCAAATACAGGTTTCTCGGTAACAATTATGTGGTATATCTGCTGAGCCACAGAGCAGCTTATTGACTTTGTACATCAATGATCCTTCTCTAAGTAGAACAATAAACACTGTAGTAAAATAGATTTTAAAAGATTTTAAAAAGTCCAGGGCTGGGGATTTAGCTCAGTGGTGCTGCTCCCTCCCTCAAAAGCACAGTCTTGAGTTTGATCCCTGGTACCAAAAAAAAGACATAATTAGATGTTCATTAGACTAAGTATCAAACACAGAATAACAGTTCTAATAACTTATTTAATTGCAATGGCTACTACAGTGTTTTAGTCCAGCATATTAAGTTTATTTTGGTAAGTTTTTGAAAGGGGAAAATTAATTGTATTTGTTTATTCACTTTCCAGATCGTCTTATTAGGCACAGAGCCTGTGCGTTAAGAGACACTGCCTATGCAATAATTAAAGAAGAACTTGATGAAGACTTTGAGAAACTTTGTGAAGAGATTCAGGAATCTAGGAAGAAAAGAGGTAAAAACATTTGGCATCAGAAGAGATGCTTCAGATGTATCACACCTTTTAATTAATGCTTTGTGTAGTTCTGAAATGTAGGAATGTTTTCTCAAATCCCACATCTCTCTGTCAGGTTGCAGCTCTTCCAGATATGCCCCATCTTACTACCATGTGATGCCAAAGCAAAATGCCACTCCTGCTGGTGACAGAAGGTCAGATCTAGACCAGAATGAAAAGCCAAAGACTCTCACTACTCCCGTGGCTTGCAGCACGCCTGGTAAGTACTATTGGCTAGCTTTCGTTTGTTGAGTTAGAACCTTTATTCTCTTCCAGTGCAGTTGACTTTCAGTTTTCTTGGCCAGTATAATAAATTACATTGATCTTGTTAATAGTAAGACAACCTTACATTCTTAAAACCCGAGTTTATAATGTGCCACTTGGAGTCTCAGCTCACCAACTAATTGAATTGAGTTGATTGAAGCTTGTTTTCATGTCCTGCTAATCCTCCTCTGTTTTCTCTTTCCTTTCCCCCCTTATTCTAAAGGTATAACTCCCAGATTCCAACCCAAAAAAACCCTGATTTTTCCAGGACTTCCTTGCCAGGCTTTTCATTCCAGTTTTTTATTTTTGAGGATGAATGTTAGGCTCTGCTCAGGTTCTTAGCCTCAGTTGATTTGAAATAAAGTAGAAGCTGTTCTTTAGGCGGGGAGATAGCTGGGAAAGATGATTATCAGGGAGAATCTGCAAGAAGTCTGGACTGCCAGAAATTCAGTCAGACCAGCTGCAGGCAAGTGTATGTGTGGAAATGGGCTCCGTTAAATCGGTCACTGAGCTGGGTGCCCCATGGGATTGCATGTACTGTATGGTGTTAGGTCCTCCAAGAAACATGTACAAGAACATTCAAGGCAGCAGCAATGGGGCGACTCAAATGCCTCTGTGCAAAATGAAAAAAAGATAGGATTATTATGCATCAGTGAGAACAAGTAAACTCAGTCACTTAGAGCAGTGTATGTCCCGATTCAGGTGTACTTTTTTTTTTTTTTTTTTTTTTTTTTTTTCACGGGT